GGCGAAGGATCCAGGTGCCCAATGTGCCAGGATGACCAGTGGGAGCCTGACCTTTGCTCAGGGGCCAGCCGCCCAGGTGCCACTGCGAGTGCAGGGCAGCACCGGTGCCTCCAGGGGTCCCAGGGCGCACGCGGCATAGAGGCCCTTCCTCAGTTTCGCGAACATTCTGGGTTTTCTTCTGTCAGGTGAGGTAGTGTTATGGAGCAGCTTAGGAAACACTTGAGAAGACTCCAGGTCAGGCTGGGGGCTGACCTGCATGCACACACCGCCTGCGCCTGGGGCCACACTCACCTCCAGGCATCACGAGGCCGACGTCCTGCACAGTGAGTACAGACAGCTTCTCTTCCGAGTCCACTCGGATGACCCCGTAGGTCAGGCCATGCATGGAGAGGACGCCTCGGCCCGGGGGCTGGTTGCTGTCGTCTGTGGGCCTGTAACAGCAGTTTGCATCTGATTAGAAGCGCGCCAGCTGTCAGAGCACAGACACGTGTGTAAACATGCTTCACGCAGACCGGGGCTGCACCCTTGGTCTTGAAGGCCTCTGAAAGCCAGCATGGCTGCCACGTGTCCCCGTACTGTTCTTAGCACCTACTCTCTGGGGGACACTAACGTCGACTCATCTACATCCAAGTGCCTCAAGCATGAAGACCCTGCAGTGCTCTCTCACCACCCTGCCTCCACCGCAGACAGCCCATTCTCCATTCCCCACTCCCTCTCTCTGCAAGGTCGGATTTTCCAAGTTTGAGAAGTGCTAGGAAGGGGGAGTCCCGTCCCCACGAAAGAGGGTAGCAGTGAGGAGAAACGGCGGCTCAGTGCATCCAGCCTCCAGGCCCGATGCACACTGTGTAGGCACGTGCTCTGTTGTACCTGTGAGAATTGGGAATTGTCTGATGAGACGAGCTGTGAGTGTTGGGGAAAGCACAGTCCCGCCACTCCCAGGCTCTGCCTTCTCTGCTGTCCCGGCCTCGCCTCCACCCTGTTCCTCCTATGGCCACGTGGCATCCGGCCTTGCTCTCCCTTCAAGCCCCTTGCTCTTGCCTCTGTGGAATCTTCTTCTGGCAGGTGGCCAACTGGCTTTCTACCTCACTGTCCTCCAAGGTGACCCCAATATTTCACTGCTCATCACCCCACCAAAATAGCTCTGCCCACTGCTGTCTCCACAGCAAGCATCATCTAACCATCCGTGCAGGCCGCCTCCATCAGGGTCTGAACTCCCTGCGGGCAGCAGGGTTTCCTTTTGGTCACTGCTGGACCCCACCCCTGGCATAGTATATCGCAATAAACGTCTGCTGACAGTCAGTGAATAAATAACACATTTCCAAGAGCATGGACTTTATCCCTGCAAACTAAGGTTTCTTCAATGTGAGCAAGGTTAGAGTGCAATTCAGGTAAACATCACATTTCTTTCTGTAATTTTCCACATACAAGTCCGTAATGTAGTTTCAGGATGTAAAATATGGACTTAAAATAGAAGTTTCCTATTTGGCCTTAAAATATCAGCAAGGTTTATAATGAAATGAAAAACATAAATGGGAAACATAAAAGTTAAAATTTCCAAAAAGACCTCATTTGAATCAAGTAACTGGTGCATTTTAGAAAGAAGTGTGTGTCCAATGTCAATTACACCTCAATTAAAAAGCAAAGAAGCATAAGAAAGTCTGAAAATAGAGCTTTTCTGTCTGTCACAATCAAAAAGAACAGCGCTGACGGGATATAAAAGAAGTCTTCTGAAACAGTAAGACCCACGTGAAAATACCTGGAAATGTGCCCCAAACACTGGAATCGATACTGATCCCCTCTTTGGCTTTTTCTTTTCTAAAGACCCCAACAAATCGACACTTTGAGATGGAAGACAGAGGAGCCAGGCAGGAACCCTCTGCTGCCAGGACTCCCTCACCCCCGTTCTCAGTCAGGACTCCACGTCAGAGTCAGAAACCTTAACCCTCAGTGTCTGCCGTGGGTTGGCTTGTGTCCCTCGCAAAGGCGTGTCCCAGTCCTGACCTTGCGAACCTTAAGTGTGACCC